AGATGCTGGCGAAACGCTAGGAAACAAAACTTCCAGAACACGGCCACACAGCCCGGAAGACCCACACCAGCCATCTCCACTGACTACTTTCCAACTTCCTTTTATGACAGTTAGACTGATCCCATTGGTATAACCTGGCTGTTGTGCAGATGACAGTGCTTGTGGAAAGGGCACTTTCTACATTGCAAGTTATGGAAGATACTAAGAACCTTACCTGCCAATTGTTGGGACAAAGACAAAAAAAAGCATCGAGTAAATTTATGCAGGTTCCAGAATTCTGGCAAGGGTTGCTGTCACAGGCTGTTTTTAGGAAGGTCTGGAATAGAACATAAGGCAAACATAAACCCATTCTTTTAGCATGATTACTTCTGGCAATTAATCTTAATTAATCTCCAAAGTACATAAAGGGTATACATCTATTTGGGCACTACATAACACTTAGATATGCAACTTAAAATGGGGCCTTTTGCCTTTTGCCATAACATCACTCACCTGCTCAAGCTTCCGAAGTCTGCCTTCAATATTCACAATCTGCAGCAGAAAAAAAAAAGATATTTGCATTAGCATGCTTGGTGTCAGTATCGCATATTACTCTGTTCTGTCCAATTTCACCTAGAGAATCCCATAGCATGTGCCTTTTTTTTCAAAATGCAAATTTTCTATGTTGCATTTATGGAACTTTCCTGGATATTTGCAGATTTATTCAAACTTTCCTTACCAGGAAAGATGAATTCTAATGGACTTAGGTTACTGTTTTAGCAGAGTCTACTTCGGGGATTATAGCATTTCTAGATTTAAAAAATACATATATCCATGACAGATTTCTTCTATCATATTAATTGTAGGTATTGATGGTTACAAAATAATTAAAAGGACATCCTCCTTTACTAAAGATGATGCTTAGCCTAGAAACCCAGGGTAATCTAGATAGTCCTTTTAACACTTCATTGCCCTTCAGACTCTACTTCCCCATCCCTTCAGCATCTACTTGGGGTGGCCTCCTCATTCTCCTTAAAGTAGTCCTGGACCCAAGCACCATCCAACTGTCCAATGGTTAAGACATGGATCCATGAATAAGCAATGGATCATTCTCTTTGCAAGGTTCTATAATTAATTCAACAATCCATCTTTGGCAGTAGTTAAAAATGGATCTGATTGTCTACAGATCAAATAAATAAATGGATAGATATCATGAGCTGTTCTTTGTGTGGCTTAAAATGGAGGATTCTCAACCAGGACATAAAAACTATTTTGCAGATCAGCAAAGAAAAGCAATTAATTTCAAATGTTTGTTCTAGATACATAATATATAAATAATATGTAAGAGAGATTAAAAATACCTGGGACTGAAGCTGAGTGATCTGACTAGAAACATTGTGAGAGATGCTGGTGAGTCTTTTTAGTTCTAGAATTTCATCTTTATTCCTTTGGATCTACATTTAGAAAGAAAGAACGGCTCTCAAATTCTTAAAAATGCAGTGGACAAACAATTCTCACCAATGAACAGAACTCTGGCCAGGAACCCAGTTTCTTCCTTTCTATAGCCCTTTCTGTTTTTAAGGATTGCTTCAGCTATCTGTCCTCCTTTGGATGATATTTCTGCAAACAGTGCTCCAGTACCATTAACTCCGTGTTCCAGTCCCAGGGACAAAGATTCACATGATCAGTTCATGTACTAAAAATGGGTGAGGCACCATGATGCCAATCTTGAGTGGAGGAATTCTATGCCATAGGTACATCATTACACATATAAAGTCCCACTGACCAAATATACGAAAGGTGGCATAGTTCCACTGAGGCAAGTCAGTGGTAAGAGGGCCAACACTCTACCCCACCCCCTCCAGTGTCTGTTCAAATGCATGGAGAATGCTGCAAAATCCCCCCATATTACAACATTTGGGTGTGGCTTAGAGAGAGAGAAAGAAAGATCGTAACACCAACACTGGCTAAGAAAGTACTTATATACCCTGAGAAACTCTTGCGTAACTTGGCCCTTGAGGCAGAGTCCTTGGAGATTCTACAGTTTCCGGGATTCTAACAAAAGGCAGAAAGCCAGTTTGGTGTAGGAGTTAAGAGATCAGGATATAAACCAGGAGACCGTGAGTTCTAGTCCTGTCTTAGGCACAAAGCTGGTTGGGTGACCTTGGGCCAGTCACTGTCTCTCAACCCTAGGAAGGAGGCAGTGGCAAACTACTTCTAAAAATCTTGCCAAGAAAACTGCAAGGACTGGTCCAGGCAGTCACCAGGTGTCAAGACTGACTCAAAAGCACCAAAAAAAGAAGAAGAAGAAAAAAAAAGACAAGCATTACTTTGGATTTTCCTGTGCAGTTTCTCCCACCTCTAGGGACTTTTCTGACCTAGCTGATATCTCTTCTAAACTAGGAGGTGCATTTACTGTATTTCTTTATAGAGGCATTTCTGAGTTGCCATTCATGTCAAGAGGTTTCACAGGATGCTTTTTCAGTATTAAAGACCAACAGTTAAAAAACATAAAACTCCAGACAGTTTGTTCAAGAACCAACATAGTTAGGGTATTATGAAGACTCTGTTTTCAACTCTACCACCCCATTGCCTCTTTCTTATTCTTTCTTACTCTTTCTTTCCCTGTCCAGGGACTGCTGCCATCCACCCCAGCTGGGGATGCTTTTGAAGCCTGACAAGTGTTTTGTTGGGCAGGTGGTGATGTTTTTCAGTGGGAGCTAAACTAGCCCAGCAAAAGGGAGAACTCTTGGCCAGCCAGTGCCTGGGTTAGATTATCCCATATTCAATGTCTGACATCAACATTAAGTCAGTCATTGTATTTTAGAGCATGGTGAATAGTGGATGACAGAGCTTAGGCCTGTAGCCAGACTAACAGTTACTGGAAGGAGAAAGAGAAATGTTAGAGAGAACCTTATTTGATCTTTCTATGACAATTTTCAATCACTGGCCTATGCTGAAAAAATTAGGAGGGAGGGGCCCCACCTAGCCTCCCCCCAAACTACAGAATTAGTTTGTAGTCCGATTGGACTTCTATGCAAAATGATTGTAGCTGCCTGTCAACATAACAACAATCAAGGCAAATGCATGAAGGTTGCATCACAGGAGACCAAATCTGTGGTCTGGGCACTTACTGGTTGCTCCATGTCAAAGAACCTCTAGACCCTGTGTATACATACAGGAAACGTAAGCAGAGGAGAAAAGCAATGCTTTAGTCAAAACAAAACAAGACCACGTTGAGTGATATTGTTTAAAATAACTGAAATGCCATGAAAATGGGGGGGGGGGGAAGCGACAACCTGCCTAAAATAAAACCAGGAATATGCCAGTCTAACCTTTTTAAGGGGTAGAGAGAGCTTAATAGTTGGGAAGACATTTTAGAGAAGACCTTCTGTTCCTATCAACTCAGCCTCTTTTGATAGTATTCCATACATACAATCACTGGGGAAAAACATAAAATTATAGGCAGGTGGCTGCTGATGCAATCAGAAGTTCAATCAGAAAATGTGCAATTATGTACTATAAAGCACTCTCTTTTCATTTGTTAATCAACTGGCAAATTTATAGCCCTGAAATCAGTTGCATTCATCTCTGCATAAAGCAAACAGCAGCCACGTAGTTCGGTATGTTATGTATGTATAAATAAATGCCACTCTTTTTATATTTTAGAGTAGAAGAAATTCAGAATAAACTGAAACAAAGGTAGATTGAGAACATGTATTTAAAAGTTTGGAACCTGCTAACTCAGAAGCAGAATGGCATTTCAGTATTTGCAGTGAATCAGCAATGAGAAGAAATTAGGAGATTCTTTACACTGGTTACCCGTTCATCACATCCATCTGCCTTCTCACTGTAGTAACCATGAGAACTCCAGGGTGTAGTTAGAAGTAAGAGTAAGATTGTATTGGGGTTTTTGTTTTTTTCTGTTGAGGAGCTTGGAGAAATCAAAGGAAGTTCTCTTTGCCAATAGTTCCAAGCATTACTATTTCCCCTGTCAGAAGTGGGTGTGCATTTTCATATGCAGATAAAACAAGAGTAGAAAGAGAACAAAACTATCTCTTTCTTGGAAGATCACTAGATTTCCCCACCTAGATGATGTGTAAACTGTAAGGAAGGCAACCAGGGCAAATATCTTGGATCAGCACCATTATTTCCTTTATTTCCATCTTCATTTCAACCTTGAATCTTTAGTCTGGTGCTTTCATAGCAATTACACAGAGAATATATATCTTCAAAGTACTGCATGGATATTGTATCAATATTTTTTCTGGTAGTAGTAGTAGTTCTATGAGGAAAGCAAGAATCACATCAAGAGCAAGGCAGCCAGATATGGATTAGAGGTCCAAGGAAGCTCATATGTACTGGAAATATTTTATTTTAATGCTTTGACCAACGTTATTCTGTACAACAACCATGGTTCCCCACTGCATAAATATTTTTATGGTCACTGCAAAGAGTTTTGTACAAAAGTCTACTCCAGAATCTGGTTAATGGTGATGACAAAGCCTCATGCAATCAGTGCCATTGATATAAACAATATATTTTAATGCCAATGGAAATGTCACATATGCACATGTGCTTGATATCTGTATGTGGTTTGGAGATATTTTAGCTATTATTTAGTTATCAATATAATATATTCTGAGATCTTTTGATTTAGAGCAGGTTTAACCATTTTAACAAATAGGTAAATTTGATGTCTGAAATCATTGTCCTGGTTATGCATTAGACTCCTTTCATGAATTCTATATTCTTTTCATTTATGGATTACCCTATTCTGGGACCAAATTATTTAATTTGGGACCAAATGCAGATTAGAAATTCTCTAGATGGTAGCTTTATCCTAGAAAGCAGTATGTAATTGATGGGATTGTATATGAATCATCACAAGCGTCAGCATATTTGAACTTGACTTTCTGAATCACCTTTGAAAGTAACTTTAAGAATTGGATTTAGATACCAATAAATAAAGATGTAACAATAGTTCCAAAGCATTACCTGACTAAAAGTATCAGCAAGGTCTTCTTCATTAAGTTTTATTCTGCCCTGTGATCCAGTTCTGAACTCAATATTCTTGGCAGAGCCGGTGCGGAAGACTAAATTGCCCTCTTCAGAGGACATGCGAGGCCTGATATGTCAAAGGGAAGAAGATGACATATTGTGAAGAACTTGCTAAAAATTTAATGAAGCAACTTAATTTATTCTATTTCTAGGGCAGCTTTTTGCAGTCCCTCTGTATCTATATGAATTCAAGCAAGCGACAATTAAAATGTCAAGAATAGTACTCACTGTGCCTGATTAATGTTCCTTTTGGGTCTGTTTTTTTCACCAGAATCAGATCCATAGTTTTTTCCAGAAATTATCAATAATGTCACCAGGGTCCAAGTAAGACTGCTTGGACACTTCATCTCTCACTTCTAGCCTTTCTGGACTGTGCAGTGAGTTAAAGTGAAATCTGTATTATCTTCAAGGATTAACTCTATGTCAGGTGTACTTTGCTCTTGAAAAAGTCTTTGCATATTCAGAGAGATGCTTATTCAGCATTCTTTCCTCTCTCCCCTCTTTCTTAGTTAGGAGTGCTAGAGACGATTTATTTGCTATAAAGCAATTTGGCAATTTCTTGAACACGTTTGTATGCATTTCTTAAGTTTGATGAGCAAATCACCAGTTTTCCAAGACTTCTTTTGGACTGGGAATGTTGGTTCATGTCTACTAATGGTGTGATGCCCATATCCAGTATTACATTGTCCCTTGAGAACTGCAACTTCCTTTTACCTAATTTGTACCTGCCAGCTATTCACTAGAAATTCACTTGGGTTCATCACCATGAAGAAAAATCACTGATTATAAAGAGGAGGTTTTAGATGTGGATGTGGGACAACAATTACAACGTTTGTAACAAGCAGGCAAAATGATAGATGCAATATTTACAATTTATTAATCATTTTCAGTTGATATCTATGAAGAACTGTCCATGGGTAAACACAGCCCAGAAGGAGGCAGGAATTTGAATAAAACTGAGGTATTTTATGAGAATTCAATACAATTAGGCCTGTGAGGTAGTCCAGACAAGAAGCACAACCAGGATTACTAGCTCTATCTTTATTGTGAGGTTACATTAACAGAATCTTGCAAGACTGAAAGTATTTCTCCCCTCCTTTCCTTTTGCTCTCTGGAAACCTGGGAGGGTCCCTTCTGAAACGCTTCCTACATTCCCTCTCCTTCTGTGGGCCGATACATCTTTTACACGCCAGTGGTCCAGTCTGTGGCTCTTCCTTCTGTCTCCCAAAGTCATTCCCACGTACCATTACTGTTCAGCAACTGTAAAAATATTGTAAGCAGCAGCAAAAGTGTTTCCTGGTCACCAACATTAGGACTGATGACAGGAAGCATTGCCCTTACTCTGATTTAGCTTTGTAACATTCATACATAATCAGATCCAGTTGGCTATAAAGCATCATGAAATCATAATGCCCAGTATGTGTTTCCTAACTAGATCATATAGCCAGAAAGACAATCCTCTGAGGGCTTAAGTGGAAAAATAAATTATATCATAGAAGCAGCCTAGAGGGATTGCAAGTGGCTTTGGAAAAGCACAAACATGGGTTTAAACAGATGGAGACTTCCCCTCTTACTTGTGCCAAAATATTTGGTTTGCAAACATTTGGTACAACTCTAAATTTGCATGGAGAAAGAGCCAAGGACAAAGGAGGGAGGCTACCACATTTGATGCCTAATTATATGGAGGACAATGAGATGTTAGTGGGAAGAGAATTGAAAAAGAAAGGGATCTTTGGAGTGGAAAACTGTGTGTCGATATGCGTGTAGATCAAACACATCTAAGAATGCTTTCCAAGTGGTTTTTAAAAAAACTCTGCTGTTCAACTTTTCAGTGTTTAATCATTCTCTCTCCCTTTAACCTTTGTGGTACGCCAATGAATAAAGGCGATTCAACAGCAGATTGTGCTGCATTAAACTTTAGCTTTTTTCATAATG